CCTGCTGTCAGGATCAGTGGCATACCACCCTGCTGTGTGCCATGACTCCCTCTGGAAGGAAACGTGGATGCAGAAGCAGGGAGGGAGGCAGGAGCGCTGGGGCTGGGTAACCACGGAGCCAGCAGTGCAGGCAGCGCTGCGCAGTGTGTCTGCAGCGTGAGCAAATACTGCTGGGGAGCAAAGCCTGTAAGAGGATGATGGGGCATTTGGCAGTCTGCAGCTGCTCAGCACTGTAGGTACAGCCACTGGCCATGGCATCCCTGTTGTACTTCTGCTGAATTCATACAAAATAGTGGCTTTGCATTCATTTCAGTAGAAGGAAGAGTGGAGGCCTTGGTTTGGAAATGCATACTGGAAAGCTCATTTCACCTTCCTTCTATCAGCAGAAGTTTCTCTAAGATTTGTATTCTCAGACAGGAGAATGTGGTGCAATGAATGTTGTATTTAGCAGTTCTGAGTGAAAGTTTGATACTCTCATGCTTTTTTATATAAACACACCACTAATTTCATTAAAGAAATGAGAAAATATGGTGTAAGGCTACCTAGGAGGCATAATAATGTAAAGGTGTATCTATATAAAATATGAACTGGGTAGCATAACTATGAAAATGATGGTTTTGTGTTTTCTGTCATTTGAACATTTAAATATGTCTCCTTAATGGTGCATTAAAGCAAATGGATATATATAAGTATATTCTTATCCTGAGCTTTCTTGTTTTTAAATAAAGCATTGTAAAGATGAGTTAAATAGCCTGAATATCAGAACTGTAGAAACGTATAATTTTTCTTCCAAATTTCAGGCAGTTCTGAAAATTTGTAGTCATTTCAGGTCCACCTTAGATTTTTCATTTTTCAAAAGCTTCAAAGTTGAGGAAGATTATTTCAGATCAAATGAAGTGTTTTGTGGATATTTTAAGGAAAAAAAAGAAAAAAAAAAAAAAGAGGTAGAAGTTTATAAATACAAATAAAATACCAAAATTAATTTTGCATGTTTCAGAAAAGCTGTTTCTTGGGATGCTGCCTATCAGAAATAGACACAAAGTTATTGGATGTACTTTGTATTCTGGGGTATTGCATCCAGGCCTGGAGCCCCCAACACAAGAAAGATGTAGAGCTGTTGCAGCAGGTCCAGAGGAGAGACACAAAGATGATCAGAGGGCTGGAGCACCTCTACTATGAAGAAAGATTGAGAGAACTGGGCTTGTTTAGCTTGGAGAAGAGAAGGCTCCGGGGACACCTCGTTGTGGCCTTCCATTACTTGAAGGGAGCTTATAAACAGGAGGGAGAGTGACTTTTTACATGGGCAGATAGTGATAAGACAAGGTAAAATGGTTTTAAACTAAGAGAGAGGAGATTTAGGTTAGATATTAGGAGGAAACTTTTCACCCAGAGGGTGGTGAGGCACTGGAACAGGTTGCCCAGAGAAGTTGTGGATGCCCCATCCCTGGAGGCATTCAAGGCCAGGTTGGATGAGGCCCTGGGCAGCCTGATCTAGTGGTTGGCAACCCTGTCCACAGCAGAGGGGTTGGAACTAGATGATCTTTAAGGTCATTTCCAACCTTAGCCATTCTATGAATCTATGGTTCTTTTATTTTGACACTTCCACTGCAATACATTTGAAAGCGTTGGAAGAGGAAAATTCAGGGAAAAATCACTCATGCATTTAGCATGATTACTTAGGGTGTACATTGCCCTATAGATTGATTTTATAGATACTGTCTGAACCCTGTATATAATTTTAAAATATGAAAAAAACTTCCATTCATTTCTAATATTAATGTTTATTTGCTTACTTAATTTTAATTATTATTTATATCTGAATTAACTGCTGCAAATATTATAAGTATTTTTATATTTAATATTTTAATATTGCAAATATTAACTGAAATATGAGAAACTAGATATCTAATGAGAAAGGTTTCTTCAGAACAACTTGCTGGTTACAACTATAACATCAAATTGGTTTTGTGATCTGCTTTATAGATCTTGAGGCAAAAGGGGATTTCTTGGAGCTCCTGCTTGTGAATTTATGAAAGAAAAGTTATCTTCACCATGAAGAGATGAAATAAAAGTGACTCACATAAAGCATAAACAAAAAAATTCATTTTCAATAATTACTCTGAGTAAGCCAATTTTTAATTAAGATGATATTCACTGCAGCCACCTCCAGATCAATTAATTTTCATGTTAAGGGATAAAGTGAGGCTTGAGTCAAGCAAAAGCATTAGATGAGCCCTTTTCTGGGAGGAATTCTGCCCTTGAAGCAGCCACTTTTAAAGAGGGAAGTTTCAGTACACTGTGCAACACGAATCTGATGTTCAAAAAAACTCACAACCATTGTTTTAGTCTTTTCATTTTGAGATGCTTTCAAGAGAGTGTTTTCATGCCTTCTCCCCACTCTGTCTGGGTACTTCCCGTGAGCAGTTAGTGAGGGCTCTCCAGGCTCTGGGTGATCCACAGACCAGGTTTAAACCTTGTAGTTCTCCACAGTGCTTTATAAGAGGAAGGACCACTTTTGAGCCATGTTCTCTGCCTCAGTTTGTGGAACCCTCAGGAGCTCTGGTATGACACTGGGCAAATGATCATAGTTGAGACCTCTGCTCTTTGGGTTTTTCCAAAACTGTTCAGAGTGGCAGCCTTTCATCTTGTGATACAGTGCACATGCACATTAAAATATCGTTTCCAGTTAGTTTCCATTTAGTAAAAGTCACCAGGTGCTCTACATGATGTAGCTACACAATTTCCATTGAAAATTAAGGGAATAATGTACACAGTGTTTTAGTCAACTTTGATAAAAGTCCAGCCTTTATTTACCAATTTTGCTTATGATACTAGAATTGGAGTTTTAATAACTATCTAAGTGCATGCTTTGACTCTCTAGGTAATTTCTGTATAACTCTGAAAGTTCTGCAGTAGTTTGTTGTGCAGTTAATACCAGTGTTGCATATATGCTTTTGCTGATACAGGAAATTAAAAATAAGAATGTGTATCTGTTCTCTTCTCCTCTCATCTTCCTTTGTGGAGACTTCGGTTGGCGTGTATTAAAAAAAAAAGCAACATGCTGGGATATGGCTCTCAAATGCTGTCTCCTGCATGGCAGCTCATGCTGTCAGCAGTGCTTTGTGAGGATCTGACTGTGCTACTTCTTTGTATCTTGTCTCTGTGAGTGTTTTTTGTCCTAAAAAACACTAAGCATATCTTAAATGTTTCATTGAGGGGATGCTTTTTTCTAATTTTGTCCTGATAAATGTAGAAATCTGAAAACAAATTTAATCAGAAGAAACAAGCTTTACTTTCATTCTTTCCATGCCATTTATTACATAAGCCAGTACAGAAATGAAAACAGTTTATGTTGTGCACAGTATTCTACAATTACAAATAAGATTGTTTTAAGAGATTTTTTTAAAGATTTTCATTGAACTTAAATGTAGGGCAACAGTTACATTTTTTGTCTTTGACCTATCATTTCTTCACCTGTCATTAAAATGGACAATGAAAAGACCTCTTCAGAACTTGAATTCAGACTAATGATTTAATTATTTTATTTTTAAATGTAAGCTATAGAATAATCAATATGTGGTTCCAGAAAAAATAAACAAGCCTGTTCATCAGCCTACATCGATGGGTTCTTTTTTGGAGGGGACAGTTCTTCTTGGTTGGGGATGTTAACACATTTCTATAATCTGTCAAATCAAAAACTCGGCAACAGGATTAACAGAACTTCTGTAAGTGTGTGTCTCTAATGCTTTTGACAAATACATTTTCTGTGACCAACAAATTTAAATAGGCTTTCAAAAATGCATGAAGATTTAGTGTTGTTAACTTATATAAATATTTTGTATATATATCTATATATGGATGTTATGCCTCTCCATGAAGATGAGAGCAAGAAACTAGTGTTTTAGTGGTGGAATTTGGGGGCACATACCATATAGTATAGTCTAGCATAATCAACACATTTTATTTTTCTGATTAATTCTAATTAAAGCTCAACTCAGAAATAGTGACCACCAAATTAATAGATAGCATTTCTCTATATTAAAAATATTTTTCAGAGAAGTATGTTGAGCACATAATTCATTGTAAGGGTCTACTGTGGAAAGACTGTCAAATTAATGTCTACAATGTTTGATTTATATCATTGAGAAGCCAGGGAATATCATTATCTCCTCCACCCCTTCTTCCCCTCTACTCCCCTCCCCACCCTGCCCCGGAGCCTCCTAGGCTTCCAGGAGTCAGAGGTAAGATAATTTTTCTCTATCTTGTTAATGAAAGTTTAATTCAGTATTTGGTAATTTGTGAAAGTTTGTTATAAAAGAACAACTTAGGAATCTTTTGTGCAGGATTGTTTAATCAAAATTTATTTGCATTCTATAGTCTACAAATAAAACTTTGAGCTTGTTATTGTGATAAACTTTATCTAGTGTATGTTGCATATAATACATCTCCCAGTTTGTTTTGAAAGGTAGATATGGACAGACCAAAGAGAATACAAAATAAGTCATAGATCCCCATCTGACTTTGCAGAGATGAGAAAGTGTATTGAGAAAGCTTAATTTGGGAATTGAGGAGGAAATGCAGACATGGAGCTCTGTGTGATGCTGTTCTTAGAATCACTCCCCAGTGAGTGCCAAGAGACTGGCATTTTTGCTTAGTGCAAATCAGCTTCAGAATACCTGCTAGCAGTAGTGTACAGACAGAGTGCTAGAAGACTGCTTAGAAGAAAGCCTTAGAAATATTCACAAAGGGAATGGACCTTTCTGTGGACCAAAGGAGCAGTAAGATGAGTCAATGCTGTGGAAGGGGTATTAGATTTCATCACTGGAGGCCTATGCCAGTTCCTACCAGACATTTGCAGGTTTCCTGCAGCATGCTTTGGAGCCTTTCTTGCTGACCACCATTAGAAGTACGATATTGAATTTGGCCAAAAAGACAAAGAGAAAGAAGGTGAGAGACTACCTCTAAACTTAGAGAGAAGGATTTTCACCTGAGCTGTAGGAGATTCATTCGTTGATCATGCTTCAACTGTTATTTATTTATGAAAAGTGAGGAGGCCTCAAAAGCCTTTAGAATAGTTCTTCGCAGAGCACCCAGTACCTGTTTATTAGGGACTTTTTGTGGAATGTGATACAACTGCGTTCATGTCCTTACATTAAACCAAGAGGAGTGGGAGTTTGAAAAAGACATTAAGCACTGGACTCTAGGAATTGTGGGTCTCTTTTGTCTGCCCTGATGGAGACAGGCAGCCGACCACATGCTGAATATGATGGCATGGCTGTTGCGTTAGTACCTAACTCCAAGCCTCAGTACACAAATGAGAAATTTGCTGTATGAAAATTATAGAACAGATCATTTTACAAGAATATCTTCAGAGCTTTCAGATTAAATGTAGAGAAATATTTGATTCCTAGACTTACCTTTTTTTCTCTTTTCTGTATTTCTGCATTAAACTGTACTTTCTCATAGAAAATGTTCTCACAGACTTGGTTGTCCCTGGCCAGGATGCGGTTCCTCAGTGCAGATCCAACATAGGCTGCAGTATCAAATTAGAGTCAGGCAAAACTTTTGTGGCTGAATGTATCCTGTCTAGAGAGCTCTCTAGAGAGCTCTACCTTTAGAGCTGGTGTTCAACCCATGTGGTTACCCACTGCTTCAAACACAATCCTATAAAACATCTTAGATTGGGTCTCAATAAATATATTAACTAATCAGTTGAGTCTTTGCAGAATTAATAATTCTGTGAATATAAAATGTTGGGTGATATGGTATGTATTTTTTTTTTATAGAGACTGACCTCATTCCTGAACTGAATGAAACTGAAGAATATGAGGTATCACATTCATTTATTTTTAAGAGAGTATTTCAAATACATACATTTCAACTAAATTTAATAGATATTCTGTGAAAATTTACAAAACTACATCACCAACTGAATGTATTACCTGCGTTTATCTATACATACATATATATGCATATACAGGCTTCTCTTTCATCTGTATTTCTCCCTAGTTAACTCTAGAGATACCTCACTATCTAGTTCTCCAGGGCCAGAGATAAATGAAGAAGTAAGCGATATCACAGGATATGCCTAAATATTTTTGAAAATGGGGCATCAAGTTACTGTCACCTCTGAATGAAGTCTGACAAAATTGTTCATTTAGCAGAATCAAAGCTGTCACCCAGTGTTAAGCTTTTTAGTTTGCTTAAAGAGAAATCTGACTTAGGCTTGCTTGTGATATTCTTACCATGTAGTCAACTGAAGTAAGGGAGGAAAGCATTTGTGCTGAAGAGTGAGATTCATGTGTGTCTGCTATCAGTGTCCTGTTGGTTGAGCTTAACAGTTATTCCAGAGTTCTTGGAGGGTCATTGAACTCTTCTTGAACTCAAGTTAGACCTTACAGTATAAAACCATTTTACACAATTTTGGATGTTTTTATGATATCCTCTGCAGACTTCATATTTGGTAACTAGGTTTCTGGTATCGCAGCAAGGAAAAAGGTAAAAATATCACAGTGAAGTTTATAACAGTCTCTAATACAGATTTTACAACATGGACAGTTCCTTCAGTAAAACCTACATTTGTATCAAGTAATCCCTCAGAATTCTTATTTTATCATTTCATTCTATGATCACAATAGTCTCACTGAGTGATAAGTCCTTGTTAGCTAAATGGGCAGCCTGTGCTTACTTGTCTATTTACCCTCTCTTGTATTTGTGGACACTGAGTTAACCAATAATACAGTTATTTCTCTGTGATGTAAGTTACATTTCTAGATTATTATATTGCATCTGTCAGGACAGTAACTGAGTGCCAGTGAATGTCAATTGATTTTTACTTGAACTGTGAAAATTTAAAAGTGCAAGCATTGCCCTTTAGAAAGTAGATTTTTAAAACCAAGGGCCTGTGCACTCCAGTTCGGGTTTGAGGACACACAGTGTAGGTGCTGCTGTCCCTACATTTAGTCCTTGAAATGAAGTCCAAACCTGAGAGTCATGTCTGAAGTCACTAGACATGCACATTGTGTGAGAGCGCTAGATGTTCCTCATACAAAAAAAGGGACTGCAGTGTGAAGTACAGCTCTAGCCTAGTGGTTAAAGTCTTCACTCTGGTGAGACTGGATAAAAGCTAACACCTCCTGTTAGCTGAGTGCCCGAGTGAATAGTTTATTCAGCCATACCTCATCTTGGGCACGTGCCCTGCTCACTTCAGTGCAGGAGTGGGATATCTACTCAGCCTAAAATATAGTGGAAACTGAGGATTTCTCAGACTCATAAGTGTCCTGGTCTCCTGTCTTCTCAGTGTTTTCTCTCAACATTATGCTTTTGAATAAAAACAGATTGGTATTACCACCACATCACCAAGCCATATCTTCAAAAGAAAAAGTCGTAACTCTATTTTGTGAGAGGCTTTGTCCTGCTGGTGTCTCTTAGGGCTGTGTGTGCCTACCAAATCAAGTCCTTTCAGAAACTGAAGGTGCCCCTCAATCTAGTTTGCAGAGTTGTGCTTGGACAGGTTTCGTTCTGGTGCAGTTCTAGATGGGGGCACAGCACAGAGCTGGAGGCACTGCTGTGTCTAGGTCAAAATGGAAATGCCTGCTGAGCAAGTTAGATGCTTCCACATTATGTTTTTTTGATTTGTGGCAGGGAAAGTTGAAGAGGGGACAAAAGGATTTGAACTTAGATCCTCAAGGCCTGCCTAAATCTTGATTGTATTTAGACATGTAATTTTTTTTTTTCCTTTTTGAGTCTATCCTTAAAAGTCAAAACCCTAACATAGATTTTTCACAAAGTATCATTATTCATGCTCAGCAAACAAAGGGTCATAACAGGGGCTAGGTGGTATTGGTCACAACACTTGTGAAACTGTTACAGTCATGCTGACTATCCAGAGAAAACTCTGAAGATTAAGCAGATTTAAGGACAGGTCATAATTCTATTCTGCAGATTCTGTTACTGTGACAATTTAATCAACATCAGGATGTTAGTACAAATCTCTAAGACATTCTGATAGCAGAACCATTTTTTCATTAATGTGTACTTCATATATGATTGCATTTTATTAGGAAGGAGTAAATAAATACTATGAGTGGCTTTTCTTTCTCAAACAGAGTAAAAGTACCACAATATTTAAGAAGTTGTCATGACACAAGATTTTTTTTTTTTTGTTTGCATTGCAAATTGTACTATTTTCAAGAGAGAAGAGGATACATGTTCTTGCAGTTAAATATTTTGCCTAAAGACCAACAGTCTTCTCAGTGTTGTCACGTTTTGCCTCTCTTGTTTCTATGGAGCCATAAAAATGTATTATTGCAGTTTTGGTCTTAATTTGTGTATGGTGTCTATAAACATTTAATTGTCTTTGGCTATGATATTTTTTCCAAGGATGAAGTTGATGAAAAGGAAACAGAGGTGGATGAAGAAACTGCAGTGATTACTAGCACTGACAGTAAAATGAACCAAATAAGGAGGAAAGATTTCCAGGTGACTACATCCAGCTACGGTCAAGAAAAAGTGGGAACAAAACTCAGTGAAGCTAAAACAAATAGATACTTAAAAAGAGAGGAAGAATTGCATGGTGAGGATAATGTTTTCAAAGCAGTTTATTACCCTACTTCTCCACCTGTTAGTGAAATTTCTGAAGAAGAGGAAGATCCTTTTTTGGAATCCCAAACAATTACTCAAATTCCTCCTCAACTCATTGACTCCACCAAAGGCGCAGAAGAAGAATACATATACCTTTCTTCAGGCACTGAACCAACAAGAGTAACCACTACTGGCCATGGTGATGAAGATTTCTTATTGTCCCCTTTTAAACCTCATCAGGAATCTCATGACTTTTGGAGTTCGGTTCTTACCACTTCTTCAGCACGGCTGGTTACAGAGGAGACCTCCCAAGAAGACACTCTTCCTTCAGGAAGCCCAGATATAAACATGCATGATGTTATTTCTCAAGGCTCAATTAAGTATGTTTCAGAAGGTGTAGCATCCTCGAGTTCTGATGAGCCTCCAAAGCATACTTCTTCCACTGATGAAAAGTTATGGTTTCACAATGCTACAGATCTGACAACTCAATCTGCTGATATATCGGATAGCAGGCAATTGTCTCAGACCAGTTACAGTGATGCTTATGTAGAGGGATTAAAGCCAGCTACAGTCCCCTATTCCAGCAGCCCAGTGGTTTCACAGGACACTTCAGATGCGGATTTAGAATTGCCACATTATTCTACCTTTGCTTTCTCCTCTGCTGAATTATCACCTCACTCTATCTCTTCAAGCTCTGGAGAATATGGTTCTGCTTCTGCTGCCAGTGAGGTACTCTCTCAGACAACTCAACCAGTTTATAATGGTGAGATACCTCTTCAACCTTCCTACAGTAGTGAAGTGTTTCCTCTAGTCACCCCTTTATTGTTTGACTCTCAGATGCTCGACACTACCCCTGCTACATCAGATAGTGATGTGACCTTGCATGCTACACCTGTATTTCCCAGTGTTGATGTGTCATTTGAACCCACCCTGTCTTCCTATGATGATGTACCTTTGCTTACATTTTCCTTTGCTTCCTCCAGTAGTAAAATGTTTCACCATCTGTATACGGTTTCTCAAATGTTTCCACAAAGTGCTACTCCAGCTGTCGCAAGTGATAAGGTGTCCCTGCATGCTTCTTTGACATTGGCAGAGGGTGATACATTAATACAGCCAAGCCTTGCTCAATATGCTGATGTGGTGTCACATCAGACTACTCATGCTGCTTCAGAGACACTGATATTTGGTCATAATAGAACTCACATGTTTTCTCAAGTTGAACCATCCAGCAGTGATTTAAATATGCATGTACTATCTACAATGTCTGAACTTCCTTATGCTTTGTCTAGTAATGTGGGCTCTCTCCAAAGCTTTACTGTTTCCTATGACTCCGCAGAATTTGTGCATGATTCTGTTGACGTATTTCGTCAAGATCCTTTATTTAGCAGCTATAACAATGTACTGGTGCATAAAACTTCTTCTATAATATCACAAGCTGATACTTTGCTGCAGCCTACGCGCTCTCTATCTAGTGATACGGATTGGTCTGAAGCATACTCTGGTAGTGAGTCCCTTTTGCCTGATACAGATACTTTGATGGTATTTAACGTTTCTTCCTCTGATTCTGTAGATGAAATTACATATGAATCATCTGGGTTTAGTGATGTTAATAAGATGCTTCAAAAAGGTGATGTTATATATGGAGATGAGAGAGAACTGCAAATTTCCTCTTCTTTAAGTGAAATGGCTTCCAATGCTGAAACTAAAGTGGTACCTGAACTTTCTACGTCTGTTTCTAATGATGATATAATTAACCAGAATATGTCTCTGCAAGAAAGTCCACTTCCTGTTTCTAGCACAAAGGGAATCCTTCCAGTCTCTCTTGCTTTTCCTACTACTAAGATACTTGATCATGATATTAGTAAACTTACAGAAAATCACCTTTCTGTTCAGCCTTTGCATGTTACACCTCCAGCCTTTGATGACACTTTGCTTAAACCTGTGCTTAGTGCAAGCTCAGATCAAGCTCTCTATGCCCCTGCTTATAGTAAAATGTTATCCTCGACTCAGCCGTACTTTTATGAGACCTCAGCTACATTAAATAATGAAGCATTACTGCAATCTTCCTTCCAATCTTCTGGCGATGGCACTCTGCTTAACACGGCTGCAGTTATGCCTAGTGATCCAATATTGGCTGAAAGCTCCAGGGTTCATAAAGATAGTTCTACATTTGACCAAATACTGCATCAAATGGCACCAGGTTCTGCTACAACTGAAACCATGCTGCATTCTACATCTGCATCTTCTGCTGCTGCTATGTTGTCAAACACTTTTAGTAAGCCCACAGCGTCACTTCAAGGTTTATCTGTTTCTTATGCAAGTGAGGAATATGTTTCATCCAGTTTGTTTACCAGTGAAGATGTACAGCAGGTTATGTCTTCGTTGTACAGTAGTGACATTTCGTTCCAGCTGACCAGTTTAGAAAATACAAACGCCTTTCCCCCTCAAGCAGCAAATGCCTTAACAACTCCCTTCCTAACAGGTGATACATTACCACATGTAGCTACTCCTGCAGACAGCCGTATCTCTTCAAGTGTTTTTGAAAGAAGTGAGGCTCCCAGTGTGTCTTCAAGTTCTACACTTGGTTTTGATCCTGTTCATACGCCTGCAGTAGTTTCTGATTCTGACATGTCCATTCATCACACTCTTCCTTTACCAAATGTACATATTTCTGTTACGGCTGTTCCTCCCAAGAGTGAGATCCCTGTAACTTTGAGTAGATTGCTTGTTCCTTCTAGAGAATCCTCTGGGTTGTCTCCCAGTATCATGTCCAGTACCGATTTGTGGGCTTCTGTAGTTGAGGATGACTACGATGAATATGACGATGGCTTCCCTGTAAGTAACTGTATCTCATGCACTTCCCATAGAGAAGCTCAGGATATGGTAGTAGAGGAACAAAACACAATGGTAAACAATAACAAGGATCAGAGTAACCTAATTATAAGCTCACATTCTGAGAAACCTGAAGAAGAAGAGAAAATTTCAACTGCTGCATCAGATAGTCAGATAAACTATGCCATGGACAGACATAATTATACATCCATACCAACTTTGACAGCAAGTGTGATACCTAAGAAGCACAACAACCCGACAGTTTTGGAGAGCCGCATTCAAACTGCTAGTGTCTCATTGCAAAAGACACCAGAATCTAAGTCTTGGGCTGTTTTTACAAATGATGAAGAAAGTGGTTCTGGTCAAGGTACCTCAGATAGCCTTAATGATAATGAAACGTCTACAGATTTCAGTTTTCCCGACCTTAATGAGAGAGACACTGAAGGGGCAGTTGAAGCAGGTAACTCAGAATTAACTCCTGGATCATCACAGTCATCAGCCTCATCTGTTACTAGTGATCACTCATCAGTATTCAACATCTCTGAGGCAGGTTAGTTATGGATAAGTCTAATTAATATCATGGAAAGCTGTGAGGGGATACTTTTGTGACATAGAGAATAAGAAGGTTTATCTGCGTCTAAGAAAAGGAGAACATAACAGTGGCAGTAAGTGTAAGTAAGGAAGCATTGGGGAGCAGGGGGTGCATGCTGAGCTGGCTATCTTGTGAATGCTACTTCTGGCTACTTAAAACTGCACCTGAAGTATTCTTCAGTAAGAAGATTCATGCTCTGCTTCTGGATAGATGTGTGCTGTCAGCAGAAGTTGGGTCATGCACAATCTAAACCCAGAATTTGTTTCAATGTTAATTGTTTAATTTTAATTTTAAAGATTTAAGAAGGACCTAAGTTCTCTGTACAAAGACAAGTGCTACCCTTCCTGGAAACACACATGAGGAAACCATACCTCTACCAGAGGAAAGATACCTCTGAGATTCTGGTTTTAAAGTTACAGCAGCACATTTCCTCCTTGTGTTTTGTTCTGTATTTTCTAAGATATATTGAGCAAGGAAGAAGATGCTTCAGTTTGATTCTGATTCATCTTAACTCATAAAAACATTCATTTTCATTCTTACTCTGTATGCCACCTTCAGATTTCAGTGAGATGTAGACTTTTTGTGCCAGATTAGCATATTTCCAGAATACTTTGAGACAGATTCTCCTGTACCTGTTTATATTTAGTGCTATTTCCCTATTTAGTCCTCTTTAATAGAGTATTTGTAATCTGTGATTCCAAGGATAAAGTCAGAAGGCAAAACTGAACCTCATACAGATAAAACCATGATAAATAGAAAGCATTACCTTTGTGATTAAAAATGCATTATGGAAAACTTGAAGTATTCAGACATAATTTGAATTACCTCTCATTAGAATATTGAAAAATCCAGGAGTAAAGTCCGAAACAATATCTATGATGTTTGAAAAAACACAACCCAACAACCAAGGTTAAATTGGTATTTTAGAAAATAAAGTGAACTTCCATGAAGTACTCACAGCACCTGTAGAGGGCAGTATCATCCAACTAAATCCACTAAGGGATGCACTCTGCAAAGCCTATGAATTTTTCAGAACATTCCTACACATACACAGTTAAATCACATCAGGTTGTATTACTCATGAGCAACAGAATACTAACATGAAAAGGTGGTAAATTTACATTCTGTAGCTGGGGCTAATAGAATGTGAAAAATAGAAAATAAAAGAAAATAGAAAAAATACTGAAATAAAGTTGAAAACATACTGAAATTAGTAGGAGTCCTAGCAAGGTAGGTGTTAAAAAACCGAATCAATAAGAGGATTAGTTCAGTAGGTAAATAGTTACCATATTATGTAAAATACCTAACATTTCTTTAAATATCAGCAAAAAGAGCATGAGTATTTCAAAACTTATATTACCAATGTGAATGAGTGTTACCATAAAAGATTTATAGTTTGCATAATAGGTGTCATTTGAATCATTACTGATAGTAATTCAGAAAGGATTTTACATGACTGGAGGAGGAGGAGCAGTAGTAGTACAGACTTAGAGTTTGTCTTCTATATATTATTGAAAGACACTATACAGTACCATTTAATGTACATTATTTTTTCCAATAAATGATGCCAAACATTGTCTTTTAATAAACTGAAAATTCAATGTGAGCATGTCTAACATGGCTGTCCTGTAAATCAAAGACATCTTTGCTTTAATTAAATTGTAAAGCAGTGAAACAAACAAGCAAAAAAACTCCTCAGCTGGTAATTTATTTATACATTACAATTAATTCACCAGAAATTGATGTAATTTTTTATTGTTGTGACCATTACAGAAAAAATTTTCATATAAGCTTTTCCCAGTCTCTGTCATTGTTAAGCACATTTATGCTTATTCCAAACTAGGGCTTTCTCTGTAAGACCTCTGTGGCTACCTAAACCTTTCAACCTCTGCTGAATAACTGTAAGCGAAATTAATATAATGAAATAAACAAAGGATCCAAACACATAATTGTTAGGGAGAAAAGAAATCTACTGTAGATAAGACTGCCTTTTCAGCTGCCATCATTGGAGTCATGGCCAAGCAGGCAAGAAACCTGTTGCAGGAGGAGCCTGCTCTTCATTCCTCATAGAAGGAATGCTAATAGGATCTTGTCATGTACCTTGAAGGAACCCTGTCATCACACAGATAAGACTGGGTTTTACACTGTGAATTAGTCCAGACTTGGATAAGCAAGTATGAATGCTTCAAAGGGATTGTATTCTGATCTCTCATGCATATATTTAGTTTCTTCTGAAATCAATAGGATATTCTGATTTTAGCCCACTCATCAGAAACTCAGGGACAGGTTTTTCAGAAGCAACACTTGTGCCTTTAATCACTTTCCACACGGAGTTACAGGATTTAAAGAATAGTGATTGATTTGGGAGTTTGAGTACTTTGAAATAAAACCAAGAAGATGCTTGCACAATCAGAACCTCGACCTTTTTGCGTATAAATCCCTGAAAGCCCCTAAACTCAAGAAAATGGAAGCAGAGAGCTGCCTGGAAATCTGTACTGTGTGAAGCTGTTTGGGTTTTGATATCATATTTAGGACATGTGCTTTGTTGTCCTTTTTTTTTTTTTTTTTCCAGATACAACTCCACTCATTCCTCCCTTTTGTTTGAAATCTTTTTATTCATGTAGAATTGGTCTCTTGAAATCCCAGTGGAGTGCATCTGATTTCTAGACAGCAAATTCTGCTCCCATACAGAATATTCATTAAATTAGAACTGTTCACAAAAGCAGAAGACATTAGAAAATCTAGGGGTTTAAGTCTAACAAGTGGAAAAGTGTTTATTTCTGTGTTTTAACTCATACAATGGTCACAAATCACAGTCAACTGCACAGATTGAAAAGAATTAGTCATTTTGTGTCAAAATCACAGTTTTAAAGTGTTTACTTTTTGAGGTATGACCAAAGTTAAAAATGCAGGATTGGTCTTGTCCACCATTGTTACCTTATTTTAACGAGATTATAAAACATGTCGTTTTGATCTTTTTACAGATTCCTGTGCACAAATATTTCTGTCATCCAGCATGGGGTGGCAGAAATGTGAAATCTAGACAGTATCTAAATAATAATTTGATCACCTGTAAAGGTGGAGGTAGGAAATTTAATTCTGGCTCCAATATAGTTGTGGGGAGGAGGTAATGCAGTTGAATTTGAAGGAAGCAGGATGTATCTATAAGGCAAGTTACAGAATGGACAATGCATTAACATTCACAAAGCTTAAGTGCAATACAGCAGGCACATAGGGACTATTGTAAGAAAATTTTCCTATTGATTTATTAGATACTTTCTTTGCATTGTATGAGTGACAGCTTAATATCAGTGTTCTTTAATATCAGTATTTCTTTATAATACATTCCAGTATTATATGTTTAGATTCCTTAACTCAGTTGGCTTTCAGCTAATAAACAGGTGAAAATAAAAAGCTTTCTTCTCCTATATTTTAACAACAATCTGATGTTCTTACAAAGAGAAGTCTCCACTGCTGGAAGGCTGAGTCACATAAGCTTGACCACTCTGCTTTACCCTCTATCTGCTTATTTTCTGTAAGCTGGTTTGCAAATATATATACTTTCTGCAGTACATAGTAAAAAATAGAGGTAAGTGGTATTAAGTAGGCTCATTATAAGACACATTCACTTTTGCTGTGCATTTGTCAGAATTTAAACATGGACTGTTTCAATTTTCTCTGACTGCAGAGGCAAGTAATAGTAGCCATGAGTCTCGTATTGGTCTAGCTGAGAGTCTGGAATCAGAGAAGAAGACAGTTATACCACTTGTGGTCGTATCAGCCCTGACTTTTATCTGTCTAGTGATTCTTGTGGGTATTCTCATATACTGGAGGTAAGTTGTTTTTTGATTGGTTTTCAGTTCTAAAGAGCTCTGATTTGAAAAATGTGATTGACATTCTTGAGCTGCTTTACAGGAGGGAGGCTGGATCTTGTCTCTCACTGTGTCTTTGTGTTGCTCCCAGTGCTGCACTGACATAAAGCTGACAAAATATAGTGTTGCCTGTCTAAAATCCTCAACTACATTTTTTTTTTTTTATTGCAGAAGGTTGAACCATTGCAAATAGTTTATTTCCATTTTGAGATATTTTAGTAAACTTACTTGTGATTATTAATGCCTAGAATGCACGTAACTTAGAGCACTAGGAAGAAAAGGAGGGAGAAGAAAAACAAGTAGCATGGCATAGGTTTGTTTCCTATCTTTCCAGTCCTTTAATAGTTAAAAAAGGTAGTTGTCAATTTAGGATAAGAATCTGTGGTCCTCAACAGGACTATGTGAATAAGCAATTCATATAGGACTGTAGGAGTATGCTGTAGCTGACATAGTTTGTAAGACGGAAATGGGATAGTGTAATAGTATAATTATTATAATGAGTAGCACTTACAATATTCTGTGATTAAAAAGTTGTTCTACTTCGTGATTCTGCCTATCTTTAAACCAAAATTTGTCCCACAACCTTTCAAACCCTTCAGTGGGTTTGAAGCTAAGGTAACTAAGGATGAGTTTCATGTGCATGCACATTCTTAGATTCCCTCATGGACCTGTTTCCCTGTGACTTGATAAGTTGATAAGACATTAAAAAAAAAAATAGGCTAAGGAGAAGTGATAGCTGTAAAAAGTCATAACTAGTCAGAGAGGTCAAAAGACTATATCTATACTGTGAAATGAAACAGACCAGCTGGCATGACACAGATTTCTGTACAGCTGAAGTCTCTTACTTCACAGAGGGGAAAAAAACAGAGTGGCTGCATTCGCAGCACCTACTGGGAATGGTCTCTGCCCTGTGCTAAGCCCAAACTGTGTCAAGCGATGTGTGAAATAAAGCAAGCTGTCCTGAGCTAAAAGCTTACCAGGAATCTAGTTAGCTGCGTGACAGCATGTGGCAGTGCTCAAGCCGTTGGTTCTGTTTTGTTGGTTCTAGATAAAGCCAGAGAGTCTTCCTAGGGACATATCTGCTTCAGCTCTCATAGGGCTTTCAAAATTCATGCACAACCCTTAATGCTTTCTCAAGCATGCTGGTTGCCAGGGAGGAAACAAAGTGGTCCATAGGGGGAAATAAGTTGCCAGAACTTCCTGCCGTGGAGATTCTTGCTGTTTGGTGATTGTGAGGAACTTGATCCCGTTACTGCTTTTGCAGTGCTAACACAGAAACTAGCAGCAAGAATCAGCACCTTGTTCTTCCAGGAGCTGTACAAACAAGGGGGAAGGCAGGCCCAAACATCTCACAGATGCTTCTAGAACTTGCTTCTTTTTTTTTTTCTTTTTTTCCCCTACTCAATTCTGATTAAAATGTATAAAAGTGATGAAGAACCTGGAACTAGACCCCAGACTGCCCTTTCCAAGCTCCTGACTACTGTAATCTCTAGGTTGTGACATAGGGATTGTGCTTATTGACTTTTCTTCTAGTCTTCTGATGCTGGGTTTCTATCAGCCTAGCAGAGTATGTCGCACGTGGGGACAGAATACATCCCATCCCTGAACACACTAGGTTTAAGAAATTAGGTTCGAGCTTCCTTTGTTCCAGGCAAGCATGCTACCGAGTCAGACAGTCTTCAGCATGGTTAAAGACAGTTTTGAGCAATGAATTTTCAGAAAGATTTCTTCTTCTTTCCAAAGAAGTAGTTAATTGTCATAAGAATTGCACTATTCATTTCTTTGTCTATGTCTAGTTGGATGATTGTAGTGTCCATCACAGGATTTCCAGCTAATCATGTTAATATTGAAGAACCTTTTCCTGTCTTTCTTGTTACACAACCTGAACATTCATATTCATCTTCCAAAGAGTTTCATCCTTGAAGCTAAATAGTATTTGAAGTCTCTTCTATTTGCCAAAGAACACCATCCATTTTAAGACCCAGATTGTACAGTGCAGTAATCCTACACGTTACAAGCTTGTTTTTGTTGGATAACATTGTGTTCATTTCATATTCTTTCTTTGGGAGTTAACAATTCTGTAACATAGGTCTTTCAAAATAAAACAAAAATCCCGTTAGCAGTAATATCTTCTCGAACTTGAATTTAATCTTTTCTGTATTTCTTGTTTGCTACAAAATAAAATATGGAGCTCTTCTTTTGTTAATCTTCAAGAAAATTTTCTTGGCCTTATGATAACACCAGTAACATGTTTCTTATTTCAGAGGAATGAAACATAAAAGGTATATATTGTAGGTAGGACTTTGTGAGCCTCTTTCAAAGGTGCCAAGACCCTCACCTCTTTTTAAAGCTTGGGAAAAAGCAAAACATTAGCATTATTGCTATGCAGTTTTCTTTATGCCTGGAGAATAAAAGTATATAATCTACAGTCATTTTTATAGTTAGATTTAGTTTATTTTTAAATAATTTATGTAAGCTGTCAGTGTTTCTTTTTATAATGCTTTTTTATGTGGCCCAATTATTTTCATTTATTAAAGGTCATAAAAAGCTTATGTTTGCAAGGCGTTATTCTACATTGCTTTGTCAACAGTACTCAAGAAATTACCTTGGTCTGTCCTAGCTGGGTGAGTGAATAGTGCTTTGAGTTGTTTCCGCTATTAGCTCCTAATTTGAATAGGCAAAAGGTATGTTTGATATGCAATAGATGTGTTATTTGGCTTAAAAACCAAAGACTGGTAAGTTCCAGTTTCTCAAGGTTAAAAAAAGGCAAAATAATTTTGTTCTTCACTTGAATGACTTGTATCAGAAAAATAATTCTGTACCATCTGTTGTTTGGGTTTTAGGGGGTTTTTTCCACATGAAATTGTTAATCAGCACTTGAGGAAATTCCTCAATCTCTTCACTGTCTCATTAGGCACAATTTCAATCTTTCTGTGATAAAATATTTATTTGTCTGACAGGGATGAAAATTTTTAATGGCAATATTGTCTAAAGATTGTCTAATTGGCAGTAGGAATATAGGCAGTTGTGAACTACTCTGGTTCTGCGTATCATATCTTTTGTAATTCAAGCAATTTCCAAGCCATTTTTCCTTCCTTTTGTCAGCATGATTACGATTATAGTGGAATAAACAAGGAGATTCTTGTGCCTGTTTAACAGCCTTGTCATCCAGACAGATTTTTTTAATAGAGAGAGAATTTAGAGAGAATTTTGCATCCAAATCTTGAGTCTGACCACCTCTCTCAGTATCTATCTACTTGACTGAGTCCTTGCAACAGAGATGCAACAAGGATATTTTAATGTCCATGCTCTGTTCTCTTCATTTCTAGATGGCTTCATCACTCCCATTTTGCTGAATTAACCTTATCCGTTAGGGTGACTGAAATGGAAAGTTTCTCTCTGCTGACATATAATATAGCAAAAATTGCTTATGCATACTTATGTGTGTACTGATTTGGAACAGTTCATAGAAGTGATCAATGAAAATAAACCTGATGAACTGCTGTATAGGAAAAAATGTCGGGCTGTTTGTGCAGATCAATTTTTATAATGGTTATCCTAAGAAGATCTTGGGAAACAGTAAAATTACAACAGTTGTCAGTGGGAATTGCACCATTCAGGATTCTTTTTCAACAAATATATGTGAATCTCAGTAAGAGACTAGCTCTAATAATGTGAACAGAAAACTGCTAATGCAGTTCTAGCTACATTTCTATCTATAGACATACTGAATGTCAGCTGGCTGTCATGAAGCTTCCTAGAAGTTACATGACAGGCATGCTTCAGAAATGACCAACCCAATGACAAATAACACTGAGTGATCATTTAAATTTTAACTTCCCTCTGCCACCTTGTATCTTTGAAATGCAGCTGTCAGAGAATGTTAATTTTCCTACTGATTTGCACTGATGCCTTGACTCCTGTGTTAGGTTTAGGGGAACAGAGTTGAGAACCCTCTGTGAGGATAGTTAAACTCGCATGTGTAGAGGCATGCTAAAAAATTTAAACTTAGAAAGGCAACACTCATCCATCCATAGAGGAGAAACTTCTCAACATCAAATTATAATTAAAAGAGTTAATAAAATTTGAAAATTAAAATTTCAGCTGACAAGCACTTAAAAACTAGTTGTAACCATTTAAAAACTGAGTAATTTGAATCATTGGATCCAGTGAGGATGCTTTAGAACCATTCGATTTTTAAATGATTGGAACCATTTAAAAATAAATTCTAATAAGTGTTTGAGAATACCTATTGGGAGATATCCTGAGCACAAAAGACCCCTGAAATTCTCAGAGAAAAAAGTAATTGTGACTCTAACACCATTCTGGACAAGCAGCAGATGTGCAAACCCATCCTGTCACAGATGACTCTGACTTCTGAGGTTCAGCTCCCTTCTTCAGCCAACACGAGCGGTGAACACCCCACACATGCACACACTCACACACACACTCAGCGCCACACTGTGTCACCTGCCTCGATGGCAGTCCCAGTTGAGCTGTGAGCAGTCCCTGCCCCAGGGGAGAAGTAGGCAGCACATATCCTCAGTCAAGGTCCAGGGGCCCACATGCCAGAAAATCAATGTCCTCTTAAGTCTAAGGCATAGTCTTGTCCTAAGTAGTTGACATAGAAGTGTTCATTCAGATCTAGTATCCCTCCTGGTAAACCAAAGAGCTGCTGCTGCATGCCTTCCTGCGCAGATACAGACACTAGTTAATTCAATAACTTAACACTATCTCCATATATAAAGTGTGTGTTCAAAGAAGTGCAGTGTCTAAATTACAAATTACAGTTTTAGGTTGAAGATCTAAATACTGTGATGAAAGGTGTAAATTAAATAATCAGGTTAACATTGAGTGATGGGACCTTTGTCTGGAAGTTTGAAATAGTCATCACTTTTTTCATTAACAACAAGTGATAATTAATGAGACATAGTTATTAACATTAGGTTTAATCATGAAGGCTTTCACTGCTGATGCAGAAGCAGATGGAGTGCCTATTTATGAGTCTTACTGCAGGTTAAGTCAACTGCTATGAATTTGTCTCCCAAATGTGCTAAGGGTGTAATTTATTTTCAGCCACAATTAACTTGTTAAAGATTAAAGATACAGTGGCTCAGTAAGGGATAGTGAATGAATGGCTTATTATGAGGACATTTTAAGTACTGCTTTAGATGTGAAAGCCATTATGCTAATTAAATTATTTTTAGCTCAATCTTTTCTCAAGCAAACAGGTGACAAAACTCTGCGATGTTAGTCCATGAACTTTATGTTCATTGTTCATAAGCAGTAAGCATTAGGGAAAGGTCATTTTTTTGTTTTAGAGCTTTAATCATAGAATCAAAGGAGCATAGAATAGTTTGGGTTGGAAGGGACCTTTCAAGATCATCCAGTCCAACTCTTCTGCAATGAGCAGGGACACCTTCAACTAGATCAAGTTGCTCAGAGTCCCATCCAGCCTGACCTTGGATGTTTCCAGGGATGGGGCATCTGCCACCTCTCTGGGCAACCTGTTCCAGTCAGGCTGGTTGGCATATTTGGTTGGTTGGTGCTGTTTTTAATAAACACAATATATCAGCATTCTTGGTGCCCAAAAGACAGGGCCAGACTTTCCTAAAGTGTTTGGTGATTTGAAGTACTTTGGTACTTGCCCACCTCTTACAGATATTTTGCACACAGTCCTGAGACTAACTCTTGAGTGTCATGCTAGCACTGAGACGGCCTCACTCACCTCAGCAGCCACTGACTTTATGGGGTGCTAACATTAGAGCCTCTCTAAAAATTGGAAGGATGTTCCCAAGCACGTCCTGAATGTGTTCTTCATCTGCATCCAAAATTTACATTTCTAAGTAAAACTAAATACATAATGGATAGCCTTACTCCAAAGATGTCATGCAAAGCCAGAGCTCCTCTATGTCTATCACAAATATGCTTTTAGAAGGTTCTATCTGGACTCCAAATGTAATTGTCATGTGAATCACCAGAACTATTTTGCATGGCACAATTTTCCCTTTGATGGAGCTGTCCACTTTTTCTTGTGTTTTAAGAGAAACTGTGTTGTACACAGACAGAAAATTCCAAGCACATTCTGAGAGTATGGGCATGTTTCCCAGAGGTTTAATTCAAATAAGCTTACCAAAGTCTTTATGATCTACATTAATGGTTCTGGAAAGAATTAGAATATCTGTGTATTCCTTATATATTTCTCAAAGTAACCTCAAAATTTATTTTTTATTATAAGAATTATGTAAGTTTTATCCATGCAGTGATACAGGAACAGTACAGAAGAATTTAAAACACCAGTGATTACACAAATAGCAAAAGATCATATAATAGCTTCAACCAACAGCTTTGAAGAAGCAGAATCTTGTAAATATAAAATGAGATTAATATTTTCCTGATGCATGCATTTCTTTTTAAATTTAATGATTAGTGAATAATATCTCAAATAGATTAAGTGACCCAGAGTAAAGATTGTTATTAGCATGTCTAATCATATGGAGATTTTTTAATTAAGGAGGCTTTGCAATGCTTACAGCAGCAGTTGGTTGTTTAGTCCCTTGAATAGCTTGGACTCTTAACAGATGCTATTCTTATTATCTTCACATCTGGATTACAGCACAGATACAAATAACATTGTGGATCATAGATAAGGCTGATTCCATTTGTTTTCATCCTTCAATGTTTTTGCAACAAAGCTAGCATCTCCTGTAGTTATAAATTCCCCTGTTTCTGTCTGTCAACTTCAGGAAGTCCTCCTTGGTTAAGGTGTCCCCCAGTGTTGGAATTATATGATGAAAAAATTGTTTCGCCTCAGTCGTAGTAGTTCCAGAGACACCGTTTTGTCAGGACATGTTTCCTTTTATTGCATTTCCGTGTCTGCAATAGGATCTATCGATGAATTGCCAGAACTGATCTCGTATACTGCTCCATCTTGAGTCTAGCATAATCACATGAAAGGGAACAGCAATTATGTGTGTGAATTTGGATAAGCAAGGAAAATAATGGCATTTTTTTTATACTTGGAGTTATTGTGCAGCATCTACAGTAGCTCCTGATGAAGAGTTGCTTTTCCATCTTTCATTATGTCTGATGTGTGCTCTGTCTTCTGCCTCTGGTATAGGTAAAGATGCATGAACAATGTATTATGTTGAGTTAATGTGTCTTCAAGTTGTATGCATAATTTGGTGGTGTGTTGGGGGAATATTTATATTGTAGTAGTACTATTTGATACTGCATAAAAACGGTTTTTCAAAACTGTGATTTCTTTCTTATTCAGTAATGCCAGAATTCCGGAAGATAATGTTTTATTTTTTGCAATATTTATTTATGTTTCTTCCCCTGTAGGAAATGTTTCCAGACTGCTCACTTTTATTTAGAAGATAATACATCACCTCGAGTGATTTCTGCTCCCCCAGCTCCAATCTTCCCAGTCTCAGGTATTTTTTATCAACTGTTCTGTGCATTGATGTTAGCTGTTGGAAGATGCTGCCTTGTATGTGTCCATATTAATTCTTCACATACTGTAACATCTGTAAGCCAGAGATTTGTACTCTCTTGTACTAAGAAACACAGGTGCACTTGACGGAGGCAGAGACTAGTGTTATTAATATTCTCTCCTGTAGGTAATACAGAAGAGAAGTAATACTCACCTTACAAAGTTGTCTCAAAGATAGGCTGTGCTTTCTAGCCATGTGAGGTGTAACCTCACCAAGAGTGGCTGCTAGTGTAGCCATCTGAGCTACACTAAATGGCTGTAGTTCACTGTCACAAAGCAGAGGATTACACCAGCAACATATTCTGCTGTATTTCTGCCTTTAATTGAATTTGTCACCTATGTATAGAACATGGCCTACTGTTTTTACCAGCAGGACCAATAGACGTCTCATCTATCTGCATTTCATTTGTAATTACAATGTTTTCTTTAGCTTACAGATTTTACTAGCATAGTTACTACAGGTAAAGTTCTCTGTGAGCCTCTCATAAAAATGATACACACGTGCAGAATATTATTAGCATCTTCTTATTCTATATCTACCACAGTTATTTGGAGAAACTGTTTCTTTGCTTTCCTTCTCAGAGTGTCAAAGGAGCACGTGCAGCCCTCCTAGCTTTTTCAATCTGAGTAGAATGAAAAGTACTTTAAATAGATTAATTCTGCAGCAGATTTTGAGCCCCATGTTCACCTATGAGAAGAGGATATCTTGTTCCACAAGTAATGCTTTTGCATACTGTGCTTTCACACAGGAGAATCGGTTCCCTTGGAATGACTAAGGGAGACAAAATCAGTACTTGTGTAGGTAACTAGTAAACACATTTAATTAAATAAATCCCAAACATTAGACTTCTGTTGTAATGGAATTGTAGACATCTTTAAATTAATCTTGTATTGATTGCTATTATTAGGAGATGCATAACCTTTTTCTAAATTATTAATTGGCAGGGATATAGCTTGATTTCAGAAAACATGTGATTATATGAATGTCAAGTGTCAATCATTATAGGAAATCTCTCCTCTTAATCTCTATCATTAACTATATTGCAGTATAACTGTATAGTTTTCTTGCAATTTTTCCTGACCAGCTCACCTCTGGGAGATAGTGTTTTCCATTCTCTTAAGACAGAATTTCACTTACAGTTATTCTGAGTGTTTAAAATATGTGTTTTGATGCTGGAGGTTTTCATCCTGAAGTACTGATTAGAAAGAAAATTAACCCTATCCTAGCAAAAAACAGGACATTGATAAATATTAATTTAAAGAGAAAAGTGTTTATAAGTGACTGAAAGATCCATAAAATATTTTATGGAAAAGGCTGCAAGCACTGAGGAAGATTTTTTGGTTTATTTTATGTGCAACAGATGTGAAGTGAGCAGCTTTTGTGTTTTCCATTGCACAAGTGTTTTCAGCAGTGTAATTTTTCAACAGTTGTGACTAACTGTAATATAATACTGGCAAAGAGCATAGAGCAGGAAAAGCATTTTGTAACTGCTAAGTTTAATTTTTTATTATGGCTATGACTAAAAGCACACTCCATAGATCTCATTATATATTAGGTTTTCCTTTTGTAGGGTTTTGTTGGCAGAGATAGGAGAATTGCAGTTATTCACAGAAAATGCTCTGGCACTTCACAGCATAATTTGAAGATGCATTCAGAACAGATAATGAATTACAGGGTAATACTAGGACCCATTATCAACCTTTAGGTAGTTTCAAGTGATACCTGCCATTCCAGATATAAAATATATTCCTGAAGTCAGGAGTGATTTAATTGGGAGATTAGCGCTGGCAAGGAAATAAAACAGTAGTGACACCAAACCTGAGATCTCTTTCTCCCTTATTGTCCTCACTCTTACGGTCATTTACCTTCCCTTCTGGTTTGCGTTTGCATATCATTAGAATAAACACTTTATGCCAGGTTTCGTCTCTGAAGTGTGAAGATAGTGTTACACATTTCTTCAGCTCCTCTTAGGCTTGACTGGATAAATTCACTTTTTGTATTCAGATCCATTCATGTAAGTGGAAGACCAGATGGATCTCAATACAAATCAACAAATTCTTGGTAACTGAAAGCTAAAATGATTAGGTGGCCTAAATGCTGAACATCTGTTGATGTAAATAACAGGTCCTTGTTCAATGTTTTCGATATTTCTTTCTCATATGAAATAGTGATGAAATTACAAATTGTGAATTAAAAATATTTTTAATCTATAAAAGGCTTTAAAAAAAAAATATTATTCTTCAGAACCAAAACTAGCTGAAATAATGTCATCCTTTGACAGGATTAACAGAACACGTTACTTTGTAATTAACAGAACACATTACTTTGTTTACATAGCATATTTGCAGGAAAGAGAAGTTAAAAGTCCCAAAGGTTTTTGACATGATCCCTAATGAACGTTCTGCACACATTCTCCGTATTTGTATAAAGTGAAAAGGAGATGTCCTGAAATGTAAATATCAGATGGAAAATTCAGACTGAATATCAGGATCTAGGAGTTGCATGAATCACATTTATTGGTTGAGAATGTAGATATTGTCTTTATGGGTATCCAGGAAGTCTTCAATCTCTCACTTAAAACTTGAAATATAAAGCCTGATGTGAAAATTTGCAGCCAATACTCCCAGGATCAGATATAAGATTATTATCAATAGATAATCATGTAATCATGGGAAGAATGGGGAAAAAATCCCCATTAGTACTCACTAATGCAGTAAAAGATGCAAATTAGTTGTTGTTTCCTTTGGATGCCAATGCAAATGTGCAACACGTCAGTTAAAATTATACTACTGGCATGATGCTGCATTAATTTAGTAGTGTTGGAACTATGCGGCTAGTCCACGTACTGTATCAGACTCCCAGTGCAACATTCATCAGTCTGAAGCACCCAGACCATTCTGCCTGATCATTCTTTTTTTTATCAGTATTATTCAGAACTCTGCTCCTACCCTCTGCCTTTGAACATCTTGTAGCAAACTGCTAATCCTCCCACTTCCCCTTGACTTCACAGGGAGTTCTGTGTGCTCTTCCACGTAGAGACAAGCTCAGCATCTTGCAGAATCATCACCTTGATTTTTGGGGCTTAAAGACAGAGCAAGACCTAGCAAGGCATTTTCTATATCTTCTTTCCAAAGAGTCATTTAGAAATGTATAAGTATTAGAGAATTATTTTAGAAATGTTAATGGTGTTCAAGAGTATTTTATTTTTGTAGGATATATCCAAAGTAGTTGTATGTCCAAAGTTCATGCCAAAATTTTTATTTCAGGATGTTGTGTGGATTGCCTACATAAAAACTTATTTATATGTCACTGGCTTTTTATTCTTCATAAATATATTTTTTGTCTTTTCCCATCCCTAAGATGATGTTGGAGCAATTCCAATAAAGCATTTTCCAAAACATGTTGCAGATTTACATGCAAGTAATGGTTTTTCTGAAGAATTTGAGGTATGGCTTTATGGCGACATCTTTCTTCTTAGCATACAAGTAATGTTAAGTTTAAATGCCTGGAAACAAAGAACTGGGTGTTACATTCTGACTTGGGAACCAATTTCCTAAATGCACGTAAATATAAGTACTGTGAGCCCAGTAAGGACTGTTTATGCATAAAGACTAGGGAGATTTATAAAAGCTAACAGGACTGGGATGCAAATGGGAATGTTTATCACTGTGATAAAATACTAAATGGTTGTGTCAATAAACTACGCAAAGATAATGCAGTCTGTATGGTTTATCAGATACAGTTGTAGATCTAAAGCTTTTCCAACACTATTACAAATTGATTTTGCAGAAGCCACATTTGCTTGTTCCATTTACAGAGCAAAAAAAAAATGAAGTAATAATGAGTACACATGGCAGGGCTTCTGATTAATAGGGGAGCTGATGTAGTCTTCATATGTGATAGTGAAAGCTTTACAGTTCCTTTTCTAAAGTATAGGGTTCATAAGAAGTATTGCAAAATTCTGAAGCATATGCTTTCATCATACAACGTTACTATCATCATATGTAACTAATGAACTTCATTGTTTTTCACATTCATATCCATTACAAGCACTTTAAAGATAGATACGTTCTAACTTAAGTCACAGGAAATAAACATTATAAACCCAAACTCTGTATTAAAGCTGTGCTATTAAAATTCTTGATAAATGATTTCTGAAAAAATCAGTCAGTTGGGATAGAAACAAGTTTTTAAATGGAGCCGTATTAATTTAAAATATTATTGTAATA